TGAGTTAGTTATGAAAATAAATAATATGATCTTAATAATTAATATTAATAAATAATAAGACGAGATTGAAAATAAAAAATAGTGGCTAGAAGGTGGTTCTTTCCCGAGAGTTCAACAGCATTGATTAGCAGGTATCTTTGGGGCTTGGCCTACCCCTGGCCTACTCAGAAACTCGGTGGTGGTGGGAGCTGTGAAACAACAGGAGGATAATAAGGCCCCTGGATAGTGGGTGTTCAGAAATGACATCCCAACATGTGTGCCCTTGGCGATGTGTGGGCTGTTCTGCCCAGTAATATTTCCCAAATAACTCCCCCCCACCCCCGGGGATGGTGAGTATCGGACTCTTTGATGCAATTCCACACCTGTGCACAGCAGGACATAAAAGTCAAAAACTGCTTGGAGTTGAGCTCAGCTCCCAGGGCCTTCGTGGACTTGGAGCCCGTTTAGTTTTCCCAGCAACAGGGCGGCTGCCATGTGTTTTTGACTGGCCAGTCTAGCTTGCGGCCTTGGGATGCCTCCCACTCCACCAATGACAAATGTTGACCTTGCTTCATTTCTCCTTTCAAGGTCAGCTGAGGTGGTGCCATCCGGCCTGACTTAGACGAACTTCACTGCCCTGCCTGTTTTAAGTGAGCTTTGTTAATTACTCTGGAGTTGTTCTGTATAGCTCCGTGTCACGCTGGGCTTTCAAGCATTGTTTGCTAGATCCGAAAGGGGAGAAAGAGCGGTTGAATTTTCTGGCCTGCTCGAAGGCTGCTCGTCACAGGATCTCAGTCTGACATACCTGACTTTCCAATACTAGAATAGCAGTTTCATGTACTCCGGGTCATGCTCTGCCCTCTTTAAATATACAAGGCAGGCTGGCAGGGAGGGATTAGCTAAATCCTGGCCAGCTCTCACTGCCCTCCCTGCTCACACCGCTTGCCCTTCTCGGTGGGCAGACTCTGTGCTTGAAGGTCTGCCGGTCATCAGGGGCTTTGTAACAATCCCTCTCGATCGTCTTTTGATCCGGCTGAAAAGGGACAAAGTTCCCAGTCAGAGTCCCTCCTCATCTGTTACTAACTGCTGCAAAAGGCTCAGTTTGAGAATGGTAAATATTTTTATAGTAACTGATTTGCTGATATTATCGTGCGTGCTTTCCTTCACTATCTTACTTTTACAGGTAGTCCTTAAATCACAGTTGGGACTGGAAGTTTGGTCACTAAACAGTGTGGTTGTTAAGCAAGTCACCACGTGACCAGATCCAATGTTACCATAGTTTTTACTGCCATCATTAAGTGGTGAAGTGAATCCAGATTCCTCTTTTGACTTTGCTTGTTGGAAACTGGCTGAGGAAGCCGGAAAGTGGGATCAGGTGACTGCCGGACATTGCAGCCGGTCACAAATGGGAGCTGGTTGCCAAGCACCCAAATTGCAATCCGTTGACCACACGGGTGGTGTGACGGTCATAACTTTGAGGACAGTCTCTGGAGATTCTCAGTCTCTTCCAGGCCACAGTTATCCCAAAGGTGCTTTTTCAGGAGGCAACGGGACTTCCGTGTTTTTCTTTGAAGACATTTCGCTTCTCATCCAAGAAGCTTCTTCAGTTCTGTCATAAGTTACTCACTACTCAGGTGACCCTGAGGACACAGACCTCCCTCCAAGTGGCCTCAAGGACTCCCTAAAAGAAGGCAAATGACCAGCTGTCCGCAAGGAGTATAAATCCTTCCCTTCTCCAGAGCTGAGGAAGCTTCTGGGATGAGAAGCGAAACCTCTTCAAAGCAAAACAAGAAAGTCCAGTTGCCTCGTGGAAAAAGCATATTTAGGATACTTTGAGGAGAGGTTCTAAGTAACTGTTTTCAGTGCTGTTGTAACTCCAAATGTGAAATGTTTGTAAGTCAAGGACTTTTGTACTTTCTCTTTTATAAACTACTTGGACAAAGTGTTGGATTCCTAAATTAATCAGTTTTTCTCATTTTTTCCCCTTCCCTTTTAAAATTAGGTTTTCCAGTTTAAGTTATCAAGAGGAGGGGGATATTAGCTAATCTTCAGCCAGTCGCGATCTAGTCTAGCTAGTTGAGTAAACATTTTGTAAGTCAGAATTTTTTTTTTACCCCACTCTGAGTTAGAGTTATTGGTGGTGGAAGGTGGGAGTAATGCTTCGGGCAGGTCCTTTATAAGGCAGGCATCAGCATGTTTCTTCCTTGTGTGCCAGCCTTGCATAGACAGATACGTGAAGGACTCTACGTATCTCTGGAGCAGTTGGACTCTTTGCAGGCAATGCTTTTGTCAAAGAACATTCACTGTTCCTTCTGTTTTTAAATGTTATTGTGTTTCCCTCTGCAGAGGACAATTCCTTTGTCTCCTGGCTTAGTTTACAGAACTGTACTTCTGGGATGTTTGTGCTGCTGTGTGATCAGTCTTCTTAACCTTATTTTATATTATCTTAAAGAAAATCAAAATCCCTTGCTCTTGCCCTACTTGAAGTGAGTGAGATTTATTTGGACCTATCTAGTCCTTTATAAAAGCAAATCTTCACTCATGCACCCTTTTGGAATCCAGGCTTCTTGAGTTTGCTGGGACCGGATTCAAGACAGACACGGGGTTGTGTTACAGAGGTTGGATCTTGCTGCATGTTGTATCCTGCATGGGAAAAGATGCCCCGTGAGAGCATCCGAGCTTCAAAATTATTTGGGCTTCACCTGTATAGAGCTGATTTTGCAAAATACCGCCTAAAAGAAAGTCTGCTTATCTAAGAAATTAACATAAAGAACAGAAACAGCAACTGGATGAGTTTTCAAGTCGTGAGCATCTTCAGTGGTATAACTGTTGCCAGTACCTCTAGATTAGGAGTTTCCATATGTGCTCAGAATGCTTTTGTTACCCTACGTAGTAACAAAAGAGAAGACTGAAATGAAATACTTCTTTAAAACAATCCGTGCACCACTAGAGGTAGGTCATCAGAAAGTCCTGTTCTGATAAATATCAGCAAGGGGAACTCTTTGGCGATGCTCTTCCTTGAGATTCAGTGGTACAACTTTCTTGATTCCTTCACAGCAGAGGTGGGGAATTATAGCCCTTTAGGACTTGTGGACTTCAACTCCCAGAATTCCTGAGCCAGCACAGCTGGCTCAGGAATTCTGGGAGTTGAAGTCCACAAGTCCTAAAGGGGCCTTGGTTCCCCACCCTTGCTTTACGGGGAAAGCCAACTCAAATAGTAAAAAGAAGATGTTCGCTCTGCTTATTATATGTCCAGGTGGGGGATTGCATATACGAGAAGCAAAGAGCCTTATTAAATCCCCTCATACCCAGCCATTAAACATTAGAGATGGGGGAATCGGGAAAGAAGACAGGAAAATTGATCCCCTCTGGGAATTTGGCAGGAATGTGCTATGCGGAAGGGATTTTAACGTATGCCGTGGCTTCTGCTTATGTCAGGGCTGATCAGCCTATTTTTGCCAACCGGGACTACAGCTTTTATTTTTTTTTATGTTTTGGCCTGCAGGGAGGGCAAATCTTGATGGGGAGGGTGAGGCATCATTTTGGAGAGGGTTAAGGGTGGATGACTTAAGCTTTGCTGGGAGTTGAGACACCTATTTTGTACTTGAAAAGCCCCCCCCCCCCCAAAACAATATCAGCTTACTTAGAAGTTTCCCAAAGCTTTGTTTTTGGCCCCACAGAGCCTCAGAACGGGCACCAGCAAATGTGTGTTGCTTCTTCCAGTCTTAATTGATGTTAGTAATGTCTGTGTTGGCCTTGCCTTGGCACAGAGCTCCAGAAGGGTGGCGAAATAAACAGGGCCCCGGGTCTCCCTCTGAAGCCCCACCCTTACCTGGCAAGGATGGGAATGTCTTGACTGATACGCATTACGGAAAACTAAACGTCTTGTTCTCTTCTCTTCATGAGCCTGAATGCTTGCTTGGCAGATTTTTCCTCAGGGAAGGGAGATTCTGGGATCCAGATTGCTCAGAGATGTTCAAAGGCAGTGCAGCTGAGCTCCTCATGGGTTCTTCTTCCTTCTAAATTAGTGTTTTTCAACCTCAGCAACTTTAAAATGGTGGACTTCAACTCCCAGAATTCCCTAGCTAGCACGCTGACTAGAGAATTCTGGGAATTCAAGTCCACCCAAATAAAACAGCGGTTCTCAACCTATGGGTCGGGACCCCATTTGGGGTCTATCGACCATTTCACGGGGGTCGCCAAGCAAGGCTGTCCGCCATTTTTTCCCCTTTTCCGGCGGGTGCCTTACCTGCCTTGGGCTGGGCCAGCTGGTGGTCGGCCTGCTCCGTCTCTGCCGCTTGCCAGCTACGCCTCGGCCGGCGCAGGGGGCGGAACCACACATGCGCGGTGCTCCCGGGCAGGGAAAGTCCTCGACTTAACGACCGGTTGGGTAGTCCTCGACTTACGACCAGTTTAGTCCTCGACTTATGACCGGTTTAGTCCTCGACTTATGACTGGTTGGGGGTCGCGGCGTTAAAAAGGTTGAGAACCACTGATCTAAAAGTTGCCGAGGTTGAAAAACCCTGCTCTAAATGCATAGCAGGGGGGAACGTGCTGAACATTGTACAAGTTATGGTGACTTTCCTGGGGGAGCACTTAAAAAGAGGACGTGTGGACCGAAGAAAAATCTACTTGAGGCTTTGTTTCAACGATGTCCTGGTCAAAAGATAAGATGCAGTGGCAAGTTTTATTTCAGTTTCGTTTTCACGTTTGAGCCATCAGAAATAGAGTCTGAGGTGGCACTTACAGGACCAGAGTTTGCAGCCACAAGAAGGGGCATTTTTATGCCTGTTGCACACGAATCTTTGGATGTGTCATTTGCCTCATGACGATGGCGTCCCCCTCAAGCCGCTGCTGGAATTTTGTTGCCTCCAAAGTACGGAGGGCCTCATACAAGTAGACTTGGCCAAAACACTTGTGGACAAGGAGCAGAGAGGGTTTACCCCCCACAAGTGAATGGCTTAGTTTGCCTTGCAAAACCCCTGTTTGCCTTTCAGACACCTGACCTCATCAAGATGGTGGACCTAGAGCACAGCCAGCTCTGCCCCTTTGTTCCCTCGAAGGACTATCAAGACCCTCTTCCTTTATCTTAAGACATTTTGCAAGCGATGGAGAGCATGAAAGAACTTTCACTGTCTATAAGCGCGGAAAGCTCTGGAGCATTAACTGACTTCCAGTCGCTGGGAAACGGTTCAGACGGATCTGTCCATACAGGTAAAAACCCTTCAATTGGTATCCGATAATAAAAGATAAAAGATGATGAAATTTAAATCCAGATTGTCTCTAAGCAGAGCAGGGCCACCGCCTTTGATTTTATCTCACATCGTGTAGATAAATTTCCCTTGATGTCTTCATAGGTATCTCTGAAAAGCAAGTGAGATAACCCAAAGAAGTTAACTGATGGGCATCATTTCATATTGCCTGTATTTTGTCTAGATAAGGATTGCTTTAAGTGCTTTATTTTCTAAGTTGCCTAGACAGAAAGTAGATTTGGGGTGGGGATGGGATCCTTCTAGAAATAATTGTGCCTGCTCTGAATTCAGACAGGAATGTTGGACTGTGTGTTGTTGTGTGCTGTCACTCGTTACAATTAAGAGTGTGTGAAACTTGGAAATACTCTGGAGTGATTTTTGTGATAGTATTTAGCACTTCTCAGTACACACCCCCAGTCAGATCCCCCAAGCGGGCTGTGCCCCGTCCTATAAAGCCTGGCATGCTTTTCATTTTGTTTGGAATTCTTTTGAGAGGAGAAGAAGAGGTGAGGGCTAGAAAAGAAAGGCCAAATGCTGCTCAGAGCGCAATTCTTACAGAAAGATGGATCTGATGTAGAGCGAGAGGGGTCCTTGGCGCTCTGTGAACTTAGTCGTTTTCTTGCAAACGTGTCACTACCCAAAGTACTGTAGGTCAAGGCTTTTCAACTTTTTCACCCATTGTACCACTTTTAGGATATGGCAATATCTGAGTACCACCAGTCGCCTAGCAAAGTGTCAAAAACTTGATGACCAAAAAAAAAAAAGGGAAAAAAGTGATAAAGTACAGGTAGTCCTCGACTTACAACAGTTCGCTTAGTGACTGTTCAAAGTTACAATGGCACTGAAAAAAGTGCCCCCCAGGCCACAGCCGAGTAAGACACCTGCCTGCCCACCCGGCGGTGCTCTTCCTTCTGTCCGAGGTTTTCATTGTTGGTTTTCTGTTGAGGATTGGGGTGGGGGGGTGTTTGGTTTTTATTCCCCCCCCCCGTCTGCTGGGTGGTTGCAGCAGGTTTTGGTCACTTTACATGACCCTGGGACACTGACCGTCATAAATATGAATCCGTGGCCAAGCATCTGAATGTAAATCACAAGACCCTAGAGATGCTGCATCATTCCAGCTGATTGGTACTTCTTCAGGGCTCAGCAGAAGCGGCCAGGATCACCGCCGAGCTTCAGCTGGAGCCTGGAGCTGATCCTGGCGCTTCCACTGAGCCCTGATAGCCCCGAAGCCCCAATCAGCTGGAAAGCGGCACTGATCCTGGCGCTTCCACTGAGCCTTGAACGCCCTGCAGGTCCAGCCATCTTTCGCCCAGGCTTGTGCTATGATGCCACCGGTTCAGCTCATTCCCCTCCCCCGCTACCACTTTTCTAGGATGGTTGCGTACCACCTGCCAGGTGCCAGTGTACCACAAGTGGTACCCGTACCACTGGTTGAAAAGCCCTGCTGTAGGTAGCATCCCCAGTGCTGAAAGGGAAAGAGATTGGCTCTTAAGAGGCGCTGGTGGTGACTCTCCCTGGTCTGTCTGGGTCATGAAACGTCTGCAAGAAAACAGCCCAGCTCAGAGAGCACCCAGGACGCCTCGTCCCAACCCTGAGCTGCAAATATTCTCCTTTATTGATGCAGAATAACACTTATTGGGAAGAAACCTGCATTTTTTATCCCAGAAGGGCACCTGGCAGTGTCTTAAATTCTTCCTTGTCATTTCAAGAATTCAGATTACACAAAAAGGCCTTCTTTATATAAACTTTGCTTTCCAAGGCGGTGGTGACGCCTAAGGGTTCAAAAATGGTATTTTCTGTTAACCTCTCTAAAGCCACTTCGGCTGCCTGGACCACATAGGAAACCAGCTGTTTGCTCCAGAGCCTAAGACAAAAACTAGTGGGTAAGGAAAAAACCTTAAGCTCTGGACTTGCAGGGGTTCTCAACCTTGGCAACTTTAAGACTTGTGGACTTCAACTCCCAGAATTCCTCAGCCAGCAAAGCTTAGCTGGCTCAGGAATTCTGGGAGTTGAAGTCCACAAGTCATAAAAGAGCCAAGGTTGACTACCCCTGGTCTAGAGTGTCATGTTGGCTAGAACTACTCGGATAAGAGGCTTCCAGGTAAGTGGTCAGGGATGACAAACGCTGAGGCTTCCTCTTTCTTCCCTTGGCAGATTCTCTCTCGCCGGCCTCAAGCCCCTCATCTGTGAATCTCACCGCTCTTCCCAATAGCAGAGATGAGCTGCCCAATGTGGCCTTAAACATTGAATGCAGAATCTGTGGCGATAAAGCGTCAGGCTATCACTATGGAGTCCACGCTTGCGAAGGTTGCAAGGTAAGGGCTTCACTGGGTTGTTGTTTTTTTTTACACTGGCACTAAACATTATGGGAAGCTTGGATGACAGCATCAGAGAGCGGAGCTGTTGAAAAGAATAAAAATGAGATTCCCCTTCGTTGCGTGGAACACACTTTGTGGAGAATATAGGTTGTTTTGTGGACACGCAGCTATCAAAACGGTTTAAGGGACCTTAGGGACCTTTTTCCTTTCCAGGTAGAACAATCCCTATTTCTTAACGATGTCCTACAACATCTGCATTTTCCAGGAATGCAGCGGGCATGTCGGAAAGGAGGGGTTTAGCTGTTTACTAATAGATTGTCCCCATGTGATTGGATCTGTGACCTTTGAAACTCTTGTCTGGAAAAACTGGAAGCAGATTAAGGTCCTGGAAAATGTTGGTTTTGGACCTATCGATAATGCAGAAACGCTCACTAGAGTGAGAATGGGGGCCCTTAAAAAGCCCCGTGATCTGCTGACATTTCACAAAGCAAAAAGGTGCGTCTGACCTTCTCTACCAGTGCAACTCCGAAGGAGTTCTCGACTTAACGACCACAATTGGGCCAGAATTTCCATTACTAAGCAAGGTGGTTGTTAAGCGAGTCACACCTGATTTTATGACCTTTTTTGCCATTAAGCAGATCCCGCTTCCCCCGTTTGCTTGCCAGACCTGGCTGGGAAGGTCACAAAGAACCCAATCATGGGACCCTAAATTGCTGTAATCATCCTAACTACAGGCTGGTTGCCAAGCAACCAAATTTTGATCACATGACCGTGGGGAGGCTACAACGGTTGTACATTTGAGGGCTGGTCATAAGTCACTTTTTTCAGTGCCATTGTAACTTTGAATGGTCACTAAATGATTGCTTGTAAGTTGGGGACTGCCTGTATGTGGAATACTAAAAAAAAAAAATATTGTTCTTGTATGATGACGACTTTAGCATTTTCCATGATGATGGGATAATTTTTTAATGTAAACGGGTCACCACGATATGAAAAAGATGTGAAGACTCTAGAAAGGGTGCAGAGAAGAGCAACAAAGATGATCAGGGAACTGGAGGCTGAAACATAGAATGAACAGTGGTTGGAATTGGGGATGTCTAGTTTAATGAAGAGAAGGACGAGGGGGGACATGATAGCAGTCTTCCAGTATCTCAGGGGCTGCCCCAAAGAAGAGGGAGTCAAGCTATTCTCCAAAGCAGGCAGGACAAGAAGCAACAGATGGAAACTAACCAAAGAGAGAAGCAACCTAGAACTAAGGAGAAATTTCCTGACAGTGAGAACGATTAACCAGTGGAACAACCTGCCTCCAGAAGTGGTGAATGCTCCAACACTGGAAGTTTTTAAGAAGAGACTGGACAGCCGTTTGTCCGAAATGGTATAGGATCTCCTGCCTGAGCAGGGGGTTGGACTAGAAGACCTCCAAGGTCCCTTCCAACTCTCTCATCCTGTTATATTCTGTTATATTCCACTTTACTTTTGGCTCTCTTTTATTCTGTGTGTCTCTCAAAAGCCAAACTCTAGCCTAGCTGTATTTACTTCCTATAGTGCAGTGGTCTTACTAGAGGTTGTGCTTAAAACGGCACCGTCCGTCCCCTTGGAAGATGGGTCGGTTCCCCTTTCCGAGTATTCACGTTTTGTTCCCTGACCCTGTCTGTCCTTAGGGCTTTTTCAGGCGAACCATCAGGCTAAAACTTATTTACGACCGATGTGATCGCAACTGCAAAATCCAGAAAAAGAACCGAAACAAGTGCCAGTACTGTCGTTTTCAGAAGTGCCTGTCCGTTGGGATGTCTCATAATGGTAGGTAAGGGTGTCCGTCAGTTTTGAGGGGGCTGCTGGGATTCTCCCCACAGGGGCAAAGCCGGAGGGGCCGGAGCCGTCCGTCCGTCTACGCTCTCATAGGCTGCTTCGCCATTTGTTCTGGTAAGGGGAGCTCAGCGCAAACGTAACGATGTCCTTGCACAAACGGTTTTTGCAACGTTTGGTTAATGGGTAACTCTGCACAAATGTTATACATTAACATATATGTAATGGCATTTTGTTTAGTACTTTTTCCTTCCATTTATGTTCTTTGAAAGTCCACGGGATGCTTTTTTCTTTAATTGAGCAATTGCAAACTTGATATGGAATGAAATCCTTGCTGTGTCATGACCTAGCAACAGCAACCAAATCCTACCTGGCCTTGAGCCACCTCTGTATTGCAGGGAAGGAAAAGTCTGATGACATCCCCCAGATGCGTAATCCTTCTGTTTTTCCTTCCTCGAGATACTTCTGTGTACGGATTGGTGCAGGATAGGTCTTATTTTCCGTCTCCTGGTCTGTAAAAACTGGATATATATCCTTAGATTTATTTTAAGTTTCTCAGACTGCCCAAGGATCTGCTGATGCCGTTCTACAAAGGAATGATTGAGACTGTCATTTGCACCTCTGTAACTGTCTGGTTTGGCACAGCAACCAAACAAGACAGACACAGACTCCAACGGATAGTTAGGACTGAGGAAAAAAAACCCAGCTGCAGCCAGCCTGCCTTCCACTGAGGACCTGTATCCTGCACGGGCCAGAAGGAGGGCTGAGAAAATGTCTGCAGACCCCTCACCTCCTGGACATCAACCCTTTCAACGTCTTCCCTCCAGGCGACGCTGTAGGGTGTTGCACGCCAAAACAACCAGAGACAAAGACAGCTTCTCCCCCCACAACCATCACTCTGCTGAACAACCAATTCCCACAACACACTCTGTGCCCTACTAGGATGTCAGACCACCTGGTAGAGGGCAGTATTACCTATTATGCTTCTCCTCTTTTCGTCTTTCCTATTTCCTAAGCTTCTTTTGACTATAACTGTGTTGTTTGTACCTCATGATTTATGTTGATTGCCTTCCTTTAGGATCTATTATGATTTATGTTGTTTGCTTATTTAGTATCCTGTGACTGTCACTGATTTATGATGATTGTATTTTATGATTATCAAGATTTATCCCTTGTTGCTTGTATGTACACTGAGGGCTTCTGCACCGGAGACACATTCCTTGTGTGTGCTCAGTCACACACATTGGCCAATGAAGAATATTCTGTTTTCTTCTGCGCTGTTTCCTCTGCCACCTCACACCGCAGAACCAACAGAGGCTACAGTGTAAATCCCTCAAGGCTTGCAGGATTAGTCTAGCATTATCTCATGGTTTGAGGAACAGTAAGCTGCCTTAATCCTAGAGCAGAGGTGGCACCATGTTTTGTCTTGGAATTTCTTTCTGCCGGAGGTGTCTGACAAGAGTAGCAAATCCTTTCTAAGGAATTCCTGGCACAATGTAACAGGTGCATCTGTTCCATAAATAAAGGTTTCAGACTGGAAGCACTATATATATACATCCTACCTTCAGCTCTCAAGCATCAGTAACCATACTTTAGTTTGATGCAGGATTTTGGAACTTTAATGTTATGCCAGCAATACAAAAGAAATGTATTTAGTTATTTCTTCACAGATCTTCCCGTGTCAGAGAGAGAGAGAGAGAGAGAGAGAGAGAGAGAAAAGAGAAGAGGGAGGGAGGGAGGGAGAAGAGAGAGAGAGAGGGGGAGAGAGAGAGAGAGAGAGAGAGAGAGAGAGAGAGAGAAGAGAGGGAGGGAGAGAGAGAGAGAGAAAAAAGAGAGAGAAGAGAAGAGGGAGGGAGAGAGAGAAGAGAGAGAGAAAAGAGAAGAGGGAGGGAGGGAGAGAGAGAGAGAGAGAGGAGGGAGGGAGGGAGAGAGAGAGAAAAAAGAGAGAGAAGAGAAGAGGGAGGGAGAGAGAGAGAGAGAGAGAAAAGAAGAGAAGAGGGAGGGAGAGAGAGAGAGAGAAAAGAGAAGAGGGAGGGAGGGAGAGAGAGAGAGAGGAGGGAGGGAGGGAGAGAGA